CCGCTTTGGTTTTCCCTGTCTCCCCCGTCGCCTCTAGGTCTGGATGCTCTGGCCCACAAATGGCCCAGGACCAATCTTTATGCCTTTCCCCCAATCCGGTTGCTCCCAGCAGTCCTATTCAGAATACGATCAGAAAGAGTGGAGCACCTGTTGCTGGTGGCCCCGCGGTGGCCCACTCAGTCGTGGTTCTCGGACCTGGTCAGTCTGCTAGCGGGCCCTCCATGGGAGGTTCCCCTCAGACACGATCTGCTAACGCAAGCTCGGGGCATGATTTGGCATCCTCGACCGGAATTATGGAAGTTATGGGCGTGGCCCCTGAGTGGGCTATGCTAATGTGTTCTGGTCTCTCGGCTGAGATTACCGACACTATTATGAATTCTAGAGCTCCCTCCACGAGACGCTCAAATTGTAAGTCGCTTTGGATAAAAGCGTCTGCAAAATGACTAAATGTAAATGTAATGTATATGCTTTCAAGTGGAGACTTTTTGCCTCTTGGTGTAGACAGCGTATTTTGGATCCGGTCCACTGCCCTATCGGTTCAGTACTGGAGTTTCTTCAGAGTCGTTTCTCTGAAGGGGTTACTCCCGCCACTCTTAAGGTGTACGTGGCAGCCATATCAGCGGGGCATGCACTCGTAGGGGGTGTTTCGGTTGGTCGTCACCCCCTAGTCTCACGTTTTATGCAGGGTTCGAGATGGCTTAGGCCTTTCCGCCCAGCCCGAGTTCCTTCTTGGGATTTATCGATTGTGTTGGAGGGCCTGACAGGCCATCCCTTTGAACCGATGGAGTCTGTGTCAGAGAAGCTCTTGACCCTCAAGATGGTTCTTTTGGTGGCTTTATCCTCCCTTAAGAGAGTAGGGGATCTGTAGGCTCTATCCGTCAGTCCTTCATGTATGGACTTTGTCCCGGAGCTGATTAAAGTCTTTTTGCGACCTAGGCCTGATTATGTTCCGAAGGTTGCTTCGACTCCGTTTCGTTTTCAACAAGTGGTCTTGGAGGCTTTTTCCCCAGTTGAAGAGGGGTCAGTTAGCCTGAATCTCTGTCCAGTTAGGGCACTTAGGATCTATGTCGACCGCACGGTTTGGTGGCGTGGATCTGACCAGTTGTTTGTGTGTTTTGGTGGTAGGAGCAGAGGTTCTGCTGTCACTAAACAGCGAATGTCACACTGGATAGTGGAGGCTATCTCTTTGGCCTATGAGGCACGTGGCTTGACTTCGCCTCTAGGGGTGCGTGCTCATTCTACGAGAGCAGTGGCTTCTTCTCAGGCCTTTTTCAAGGGGTCCTCGATGGAAGATGTTTGTGCTGCGGCAGGATGGTCCTCTCCTAGCACCTTCATCAAGTTTTACAGTCTGGACGTGAGGATGGCTCCTGGCTCCCGGGTCTTATCCGCTTGAGCAGATGCTTTCCTCGGTCTTCCAGCTATCCAAGGTACGTCAGGCATTATGGTATAGCATTCCCAAAGCGATTACGTCATCGCAGCATCGAAGTGAGCCTATGAGAGGGAACATCTTGGTTACGTATGTAACCTTGGTTCCCTGAATAGGGGAACGAGATGCTGCGATGCTCGGCCGTTCCGTACCTTGATAGCGCTTCTTCGAAAATCAGTGAAATCTGATGGAAATAGCGCGCAGTACGCTATATAGCTCACCTACGTGCGCATTGGGGGCGGTGCTAAGCGCTATTTGGCCAATAAATTGGCGTGATGGTATAAGGGCTTCAGACATTCGTCACACCGAAGATGTTCCCAAAGCGATGATGTCATCGCAGCATCTCGTTCCCCTGTCGATTTAGAATGACATCATAACTTCTGATCAGATTACCCAAAAGTGCTTTCGATGAATTTGTTTCTTGTTTGAGTTTCTCCAGGTAATTAGTTTGTCGATAAAATCCTGCTAACACCTCATTCATGCAGAACGAGCGATCGCTGTCTTCTAAAACTGAGAACCCAGCGCTTGCACTGGGACGCAAGACAAATGTATTTTTTGCCTGGTCGAAGTATGCAAATGTGGCTTCATTCACCAAAACAACCAGCGCTTGGTCTATGGAGCCATTCTCCATCGTCCGTGTGTAGGCCAGGATATTTGCTGTCTGGTAGTCTAAAAAAACAACAACTTATTCATTAATATTATTAAGCAGTACAGTATTTTCAAATTAATAAATGCAATGGATTTACACATGCTAAGATTCTTATCTTCCTGTTGTCTAAATGATGCATTACTTCCTGTTGAAGAGGAGGGATGAGAAAACAAAGCAATATTATAACTTCACCTGTCCACATGATGATCTGAGGAGAAAGCAGGAGTATTAATATGAATGTCTGTATGATTTCCATGTTTGTCATTCACACAGTTTGGTTCACAGAAAGTAACCAAAAGCCAATGTGTTCCTGTTAAAACCCACCGATAAAATATCAGTCACATGACGTCTTGACCAGTTTTTCTTTCCATACTTTCACTTTTGATATGCCATGGTTTCCTTTTACAGGCTGGAATTATTTTTTCCCTAAGAATTTTAGTCAGTTCATTAAAGATTAAACCCATATAAAGTGATTGCAAATATAAAAGTGGTAGGTGGAAAATAACTTGATTGCACCATTACGGCACAGCATATAAAAGACCTACTTTCACTTTTGAAATTCAACTTGTAGTGTTGTGAATACTGACAAAACAAAATGCAAGTTTTTCTTTTCGTCATGGCTTTCTTTAATACCGTCCTTGCAGCAGGTAGGACATTTTGTCCAATATATTTTTTATATTTAATGTAATATTGTGTGGGAGAATATAACAAAAAAACAATGGTAAATGTTTTAAGGAGATTGTGTGCAAGCCTGGATCATATCCAAAAAGGAAACATCAGTCCAGATATGCTTATTTATTAACTTTAAACTGTGAAATTTATAAGACAATGGCTTAACAAATATTTCAAGTGCAAATAGGTTCTGTGTATATTTTAACATCAAATTACCTGCATGTGATCTATAGATATTTAGTAGTAATCATTTTGCAATTGGTTTATTTTAGAAGAACATGCATACCAGCAGTTCATTGGATGTGCATTCAACAGTGAAGGGCAAGTAAGCCGTTTCTGGCGCTATGGGTATGATGGCAGAGATATCATGCATGTGGATTTGGTGAAAGAAGCTGTGGTTGCTACGAGTAAATCTGGTCAGCTTTTAGCAGAAGAGAGAAAGAGCAAAGAATACATTAAGAGAAAAGAGGCACGACTAGTAAAGGTGTGTTCTGCAGTGAAAACTGTCTTCCTAAAGTCCAACAACTCTCTCTCCAGGGCAGGTAAATCCGCAGTATATGTCTATCACTGTAAATTGGATGTATACTTTTGATGCATAAATATGTTTAAAGTACATATACTGTATATTCTCTGTTTATATTCAGTTGGTTTCACATTGCAAATTTGATAAACAATTGCTTACTTTTCAAATGTAGCAAAACCTGCATTATATGTGTCGTCTGGAGGAGAAAAGGATCAGGAATATATTAAATGTGTTATGCGTGGCTTTTATCCAAACATCATTAAAGTACGCTGGACCCAAAAAGCAAGGCCAATCTATTTTGGTGTATCAACTACTGGAATACTCCCTCACAAGGATGGCACTTTCCAGATGACCTCCTATCTTAGCCTTAGTAACGTGAGCGGCCACGATGTTACCTGTGAGATTGAACACTTAAGCATTGATGGGAAAATGAGGATAACCTATGGTAAGTCACTCACAAGGGCATTAATAATTTATAGGAGCATAATGATAAAATATGTGAAAACTCAACTGACTTGCTCTGTCTTTTTGTTTCAGGAGAGAAATCTTTGTTTCTGTCACAAATCACAGAACATGTACTTACTGCAATGATTGCCTTTCTTCTTGGATTTGTATTACCAGCATGCCTAAATGTACTATTTATATTCATATGGCAAAAGACGTCAAAACCACCCGAAGATGAGATAAAAGACACAAGTGATGAATCAGAAGCATCCTTATCTTTGAATTTAACGAATACCTCTCAGGAAACATAAAATATTTAAGGCGAGTGTGACTCCAAACCATATATTATTATTATTATTATTATATTTTGGCCACAGACAAATACTTTTATTTTCATATTTGTGTAGAATTGAATCTCAAGTATAGTATACACAATGTCTGCATCTCTATAGGTATCAAAAGTCTATGCTAAAGCTTGTTGATCACTGTTTAAAGAGTTTGTAAATGTAGTGGAACTTGTAACTTTTTCTGCATAGTCTAACATACATACTTTATTGTCATCTTCACTTGTAATCATTCATTTACACAAAATAAACAGGCTATTTATGACAAATTCTTTATGTAGTACATTTTTGGGAATGTGAGTTATTCTTTTAAGCTTATACATTGTTTAATTTTGCTCCATCTGTTTCACTTAGATCTTGGGCTATTTTTGAATCGCAGTCGTGTCTTTAACTGTATGTATTTATTTGTTTTCTTGTTTATTAAATTCCAAAACACGTACAAGAGCTTAGTACATAGCATTGCTTCGGGAAAAATAAACATTGGTCAAATAAAAGGAAAAGCAAAACCGTTAATAAAGTAATAAACATAAGAATATAAATAGTGCGTCATCCTAACATGTACGGCGACCTCAAAATGCTGGCATTCTCAATAGCCAATAGATTAACAGAAAATTGTTCTCGCGCTTAGGCGCCAGTGCTTCAACCAATAGCAGAGCGAGTCTTTGTGGCTTCGCCACGGCGGAGAACCCAGCGATTGGCTCCGCTTATAAACTGGGCGGGACCACTGGCTCCTGCAAGGTCCTCGCAGCCATTTTCACGAAAGTGTCGCGGGCGCCATGTCTGTGGAAGATCGCGAAAAAGCCTTCGAACATAAACACAATATTCTGCGTCTGCAGTCTCGCACCAGGGCATCTGTGAAACCGCCGGGGACATAAACAAAGCTGAGGGTATCAAAGCTGTGTTGAGACAGCGTTAAACATGAGAGCGGATATAATGTCTGTTAAGCGTCTCATGTGTTGTTGAGACGCGTAAACCGTGAGTTTTTTCCTCCAGACTGTCAGTAACGTTATATCAAAACCTTCAGCCAACGAGTGACTGATGCTCCTTACTCTGGTTGCGGAGAAGGGCCAGTTCCGCTTCCAACCATCATGGCTTTTGTGAGCCTCTTCTCCAGTCCCCCAAGCCCCGTACTTGTCAAAAACATGACAGACTGTGAGCTGACAGGGGAAGAAAGGTCGAGTAAACATGTTCTTATCTGCAAATGCTTCACTGTGCAGGTTCATGTGTGCGTATATCGAGTGAATGTGGATCTTTTGACACCTATTTTGTTTTTTCCCCCCCAAGTACGTTAGGCTTCGTTTTCGTTTTTGGACAGGCCTTTCCCCCAGTTCACTAACTAGTGATCACTAAGTAGTGGTCATATTTTCCTGCATGTACTCATTTCAGTATCTGTTGCAGAGGAAAGCAAGTGACTGTGCTCATCTTTTATCGCTTTCCCCACTTGTTTGCGCTCTTATTTAGTTGATTTTGAAGGACATTTGGGTTTTTGTAGAAGGCTGTAGTAGCTGGTTATTATTACAGTAATGTTAATAGTCGTTTCAAGGCTGTTGAATATGTAAATAGTCACGACGCGTACGATGCCCCGCCCACTCACGTTCCATCGGAACGCCCCGCCCACCCGGGAAAGGAGAACGTCTGGTAGGGATTCATGACAGGACTGTTGAGGCATAGTAAGCCATGTGTTGAGCTGTTTTAATTATCAGCCAGTGATGGGAGGCTCTGGAGTTGGCCAGGTTGGCTGAGTCTGTCTTAAGTTGACCCTTGACCCTATTTATTTTCTTTCATGCATTCCTGGTCTTTTTGTGCATGATTCATCATCAAAATTTTTATAACATCACACTGAGTGTTGTCCATTTATATCAAATGTCATTATCAGAAATAATGTTGAATTAGTTAATTGAAATGTCATCATTTCTGAACTCATAACTACACAGGCCTAGATAAAATATTTATCAATTTAGGTAGCAGATAACATAATTTTGGCCCACACTTTTAAATATCTAGGCCATATTTGGAGGATTTTTATGTCCTGATTCTTGAATAATTTCTGACCCCAATTCAGATGCATTTATATCCTATTAATGTAAGTTGCACTTAAGTTGCAAATATTTCCAATGGTGCTGTGTAAACATAGCATGCATTATTGAATAAAGAGATTGCTGGCTTGGCCTTGACAGCATCCAGATGCAAAAAAATCTCATTGCAGCTCCAACCCATGCTAATTACTTTTTGCAACAGCGTAACACCTTGTATCTCTGTGTGCATTATCTAAATTTACCCATGAGTACATGGCTCATATGTTCAATACTGAGAAAGTGCTATGTGGTTAAAATGTTGTAATAATTATTGAGTTTTCTTCCATTTCCTATTGTTTTTGCCCTCAAAGTTTAACACAGAAGACACCAAGTTAGTCATCAAACCAGTAATCTCACATACATAGTCACTACATCATCCCATTGACAAACATTGACTTTGTATTAACTATGTAGAAACAATCGTTTTGTGTTTCAAAGCACACTAAGGTACCATAGTTCCATCTTTTGCATGCTCCATGCTGCGTTATGGTATGTAATGCCATTTAGCAATGTAAAATCCCAAAGATCTTGGTTTCCTTCTGTAGTGTCATGGCCTAATTTAGTAAAACTGAGATCTTCAGACTCTCAGTGTTATTGTGTCCTTGTTCTCACTTCAAACTTTAACGCTTGGAAAACTTGGGAATTTGACACCTGGCAAAACAAACATTCACATCCGTATTGGTTTTAATCCAATAAGAGTTTGCTGCTCCATTCATTTTGCATTGGGCATTTAAGAGGAAGGTTTATGCTGCTTGATTATGTGACTCTGGAATTACCCAAAATAATTAGGTTTTCATTTATTTCATCTTAAACATGTATATATAAAAAAAGATTACTGTGTTTTAAATATTATGAACAGACAAGTAAATTGCAGTGTTCATATCCAGCATATGCTCTTCAGAACAGAGTATACACTTTTTTTGTTTATTCTTTTGTTTTTAGTTATTTTTTTATTATGATGTTTTTGTAGAGGAGTTTTAAGTTGTAACTATAATTTTATATTTATTGAAGGCCTATGCAAAGCTCACTGCCACAATACCATGGTGTTGTTGTGGGTGTTTGCCAATGCATTGCTATACAGTTTGTAGGATGTTCTCTCTGGTTGCTAGATGATTGTGGGTGGCTGCTTTTTGGCTCAAGTCTTTAAAACTTCATAACAAACCCCTAATTCTGTGTGTGAGCAATAATAGTAATGATGCTTCGCAAACACCATTGAATACTAGTGACTGTTTTGCTCAGAATATTTAGCTATTTCACTGATTTGATAGCACTTTCTTGGCTCATTTTTTTTGTTGATTAAATTCTCAAACATGTTTGATCTTACAGGGAGGATGGCGAATTGGAGGATGGAGAAATAGATGATGAAGGCATAAGCATAGAAGAAGTGAAGGAAACTAAGGAGGAGTCTGAAGAGGTCGAGAAAGAGAAAGGAAAAGACAGAGAAAAAGATGAAAAGTCACACCAGCATTCCCGAAAGCGACACAGGAAAATTAAAGAAAAACGACGGTCGAAGAGAAGGAGACGAGACCGTCAAAAGGTACATTCTGTCCTGTCTTTTTGTGCAACTGTTACTAGCTTTGACCTTTTCTCTTACCTTTTTTCAACATTTTCCAACTCAGCATCACTCTCCATCCAGTGGCTCCAGCTCAGACAGCTATGACTCAGAGCACGAGCGTCAAGACAGACCTAAGAGCAAGAAGAGCAAAGGAACATATCGTGACCATGATGGAGAATTGGTGCAGGTGAGTTCAGGGTCAGGTACTGGATTTAACATTTCGTTAGCAGCAGCTTTCAGTTAATTTTATTTTCTACCCACGTCTCCAGCGGGAAAATGAACCCACAAAACCACCAAGATCAATGCAGCACAAGAACAGCGATTTAGACAAATACAGTGACTACAGTGAAGAAAAGTATGACTATGATGAAGAGGAGGATTTCTCAGAGGAGCTGTCTAAATACAAACATGCTAAAGAATCATCTGGTCATGGCAAGGCAGGGCCTAAAGACCAGGCCAAGAGACCAATCATGAAGGGACAACAAAAACAACAACAGCAGTGTATGTTGTTTACTTTACTAACAAAGAAAATAAAAGACTGCATGGAAATTAATTTGAAGACCCAACAGACTAAACCTGTAATTTTGGGCATTCCTTGTGGTTATCTCTCATTATTTTCTTTTGCTTGCTATATAGTTGGTGGGCAGCGTGGTAGAGGTCGTGGTGCCATTGGCAGGGGACGGGGAATGCCGAACAAGAATAAGAAACAGAAGGGCAAGAACTGGGGCCGGGGTCGTGGTCGAGGAGGAGAACAGGGTGGAGGAGATGGGGTGAGAATTTCTCATTTTTGAGTGAACCATCTCCAGTAAGATCTCAGGGCACTCATGTTATTGTCTTGTCCTCATACAGGATTCTAAAGGTCCACCCAATTTCCAGAAGAAGCGTCCAATCATGAGCCAGGAATTCATTAATCAACATACGTTTGAACACAATGGGAGGCACATTTGTAAATATTTCCTGGAGGGTAGATGCATCAAAGTAAGCTAATTTCACCATTATCACACACATGTTGGGTTAAACAGTACTTTGTTTTATTTGTCAAAATTCAGTTGTAACGTGATCTTAATGCTTCACAGGGGGACCAGTGCAAGTTTGAACATGATAATGTTGTCCCAGAGAAGAAGAAAGAACTGTGCAAGTTTTATGTCCAGGGATACTGTACCAAAGGAGATATCTGTATATACATGCACAATATCCTTTCAAAACATTTCTTGGAAAAATTTTTACAGATTAACAGTAGGAAATAATCATAATATGACATTAGTCAAAAAAGATAAGGGTTTTCTGTTGTTTGTTTCTCGTTTTGGACCTTGACCCTAAAGTGTATGTGAGTATCCGTGCAAGTT